TTTTTTTTTAAAATAAGTTGATATGTTCTTATGCAAGCAAAACGTTGATTCTGATTTGAGGGAGCTGCAACTTGGAAGGTCTCAATGTGCGGTAGATAAATGATCCTGATCATCTTATGTGTGCTTGTACTTCTTTCTTGCACATGGTCTTATATAAACCTCATTTTCATCCCTCATTTTTCGTGAAGCAATGTGTATAATAATACTGGTCATACATAATGTTTGAAACTTCCATTCTAGTTTACTCCAATGGAATTTCCATACCTTTGTATTTTTCCTAAATACTTGCGATTGCTACAGGTTGGGACAATTGGTCTTATTCTCTTGACAGGATTGCTGGTCTTTATGCTTTTCTTTGCTGCGGCCACCATAAACACCGTCATCATCTCTCTTTTAGTTTCTCTAGCGGCGGCTGGAGGATTCTTGGCTATATTTTTTGCCTGTGTGGCAGCCATTTACGTTGGGGCATTGACGGTGGCTTTGTTTGCCATCTCCACAGCCACAATTTCAGCAGCTATTGCTGTCCTTACTGTTGCAGGTAATTTTTTTCCCATTATTTTCGAGCTGAGACAGAGCTACTTTATTTGGCGCTTGTTTTTTATGTAGAACTGACATTCTTTGATAGTCTTATTTGCGGAAGAAAATTAATGTAGAAGCCAAATTCTGAAGAGAGTGCCTCTTTTATGTTTTGGTACCACATTTATCCAGTGAACATAAGATGGGAGGATATTGAGTAGTCTTTTATTGGCTTTTACATGTTTTTTTTTTTTTTTGTAGTGTAACCTCAGACTTCCAATACTAATTTGTCATATCCCAAAATCAGGTTGGATTGGTTTCTTTTGGACCTTGTGGGTAGCGGCAAGGAAAGGCATAAGTGTGGCCAAGCATTCAGTTTCAATGACTGGATCGGCTGTTTCGGCTTACTCGACCGCTTGGCGGGCCAGGAACCGAAACATATCTAGTAAGTTGGATTGACTGATTATTAGATTACACGTACTCGATGGAACGAGTTCTATGCCGTGTGATTGTCTATACCGTTTGCCTGTCCCTACAAATAAATGATGCTACTTTTGCCCGTGTAGTTGAATCTTTCGTTTTGTACATTTGTTTGTGATAGCAGGCTGAATGCACTATAGGTTAGGAGTACACGTTGGATTGTGTTCTTGTAGTATGCGGTTCTTTTCGACCGTGCTTTTCTATTTTGATAGTGTGAAATGAAATGAAATGAATGCTTCTGTACTGTGATATATATATAGCTCGAGCAATGTATTTCAGTTTCTACATTTCTTTCATTTCATTTTCGTTAAATGTAATGTTGAATGATATTACTTCGCCGCCATTTTAGTTGATAAATGAATATCCTATCAAGATGCAATGAAATTCCGACTAGTAGCGTTACAAAGGGTTATTCAATGTTTCATTTCGTATTTCATTCTATTTTGGTGTTACATTTCGTGTTTCATTCCATTGTGGTAAACCCAGATTTTTTTTTTAAAAAAAAAAAGAAAAGAAAATAGATCAACGTTTTCCAAGTTTGTGAACTATGAAAGTAGTCTCCATGAGATTGTGATTCGGTCAAAAACCTACAAGCATGTGATTAAGTTTGTGACCTGAATCTATAATTTTAAATGTTTCACGGGCAAGAAAGAAATCTACACGAGATTTTTATTGTGAAGATTCAAAGTCTTGAATATATAAATCAACTGATCCGAATCTCTTGAACATTTTTATGATTTTCTCGTCTTAGGTTAAGCACAGGAAAGTTCACAACACTTCCTAGGGACAAAACTAAAATAAATACGAACGAGTCTCACAAAATCCATTGATTTTTTACGGTTATTTGATGATTTAACAATTACAAATTTCGACGGAATTGATTCCGTAATAAAACGGTAGCATCTTCCTTATTTAAGTTTCCATAACATCATTATTATGATTTTTATTGCTAAAGAAATTGCGAGGAATGTCGTAAAAAAACTTTACTGAAAATAAATTTTTCGGGGCGTGCGTACCCTTGATATTCGGTAGGACCCAATCTCGATGACCAGGTCCAGTTGAAAAATTCTTGTGATCTATACTATTAATTAGGATTTAGGCCCATTCTATATTTTGACCTCATCTCCCAAGACTGGATTTTCTTGGTGGTATATTTTTTTTTAATAATACTTTTTTTTTTCGGTAGCTAGTCACGGTATCTAGAGCATTGCCCTAACTAATCAGTTGATCGACCCAAGTCGCACACCTGCCAATGGTGAGTGAGTCTCCCAACAAGAGTTTTCTGCATTCACATGGACTCGAACCCGAAACATTTGCTTAAGCGACATCAAGTTGTTTACCACTTGAGCCAACTCTTTTTTATTTTAATAATATTTTTTATAGAACACAAATCACCAAGGATAGCCTAGCTCATTCCAAAATTGGCCCCATAAAAACCTACTTTTTGTGGGGAAATTACTTTTTTGTGCAAAATCATGTTTTAGTTTTTACTAGTACAATGTCCGTGTATTACACGGGTGCTTGTTAATTTTTTCCTTAAAATCTAAAATTAATGAGAAAAAGTAGTTGAAAAATTAAATACCTTTTATAAAATATATATTATTATATATTTAGTATGACACTTTTTATTTGTGCGACTTACTTGTGTTATATTATAATTTATAATAATTTTTTAACTTACAACATATAACTACATTACACATAAATATATGAATTGAGAAATAATTTTATTTTTCTAATAAATTTTAATAAATATTATTATTTTTTATTATTATAAAAAATAAATATAATTTATTTATTTCATATATATATACAATATTTATGGAATGTCCGAACCTATATTATTAATTATTAATATCAATATTATTTGTCCAAACCTAATTACGAAGCATGATTCTTCGCCAAGTAGGATTCCGAAGCACCAAAAGCAGCCACGTAGGTTCAGCGCATTCGAGAATTATATAATGGCGATTTTACTCTATCATATAATTGAGAGGCATTTAATTGTGACGAAAATATAACAAACTATATATGAATTGGAATATGAAACCAATTTTTTTTTTATCCTATATAATCCATTGTCATACTCCTCAATTATCCCAACATGTTTTCAACTACAAGAACAAAACTTATATCAATTGAAATAGAAAATCTAAACTTATACCAAAATAAATAAAAAAAAATATATTTAAACACAATAAAATAAAATAAAATTAACCAATCCTGAATCTACTCAATTCTCATTTGACATTTCCCACCTGATCTGAGGACAAATTAAATCAAAGAATGATGATGTACCCAAAATAAAAAAAAAAAATATAAAAAAAAAATTCAAAGAATGATGAATTTCCATAAATAATAATAATAAAAAGAACATAAAATTTTGACCGCGGCTAATCAATGAACCGATGTAATAACATTCCCGTCGTGGTCTCCGATCTCAACATTTTCCGATTACTATTATTTCTCCTCACCGACAAAAATCTCGACCAAAACCCTCTTTTCCCGCCACCAAACTCCTCCTCGTCTCTTCTCCTCCGCCACGCGAACGCCATCGACCGGCTCTTCCGGAAAGCCACCGCCGTGCCCGGCTTTCCTGCGGGTGTCGAGCACGAGGAGGAGGCGTTGGAAGAGGAGAGAGAGGAAACGTACGAGGAGGACGACGATGATGGCCGGAAAGTTTTCCGGGCTCTCGATTTCCGGCTGTTGGAAAGTTTGGCGAGCTTGTCGTTTAGACAAAGGGAGCATACGCCGGGGGATTGCCGGTGTTTCGGGTGTTTCTTGCAGGCGGCGTTGGGTTTTGGCCTGGTGGCGGCGGCGGCTCTCAATCTCGGCTTTGAATAATCCATGTGTGTTTTCTATGAGTGTGTTTGTGTGTGTTTTTTTATTAATTTTTTTGGGAACTAAGATGATGTCTTATGCATATATATAGAGAGAGAGAGAATAAAAGAGGGGGTGTTTCCATGAGGTTTCATGCGAAAGGGTATGTGTGTTAAAAAATGACTCTTTTGACGTTTTTTTTTTTTATTTAATATCTTTCGCGCGCGCGTGTAGTGTTGTTTCTTGAAAAGTATTGTGTGTGTAAAAACTAAAAAATTATCTTTATTGTATTTTGATTAGCTCTAAAAGTACAGGAAGATGTTACGATCCAGTTATGAAATCATTCTGTCGGGGTTTGTAATTGTTAAATCAATTATCTCTGACGATTACATAATGATCTAACGATTGCAAGTCTCGACGGAATAATTCCGTATCGGGAAAGTTTCCCTTATAAGACTACTATCGATCAACCGCTTTAGAAATATAATCATATTTTGAGGTGGATAATAAGACTTGGGAATAAATTGTATCATCAACTCACTTTGCATGGTGAATAGCTATGTGTATTTATGAATGATATCAATTGAAATAGTAAATAATTACATGATAAATAAACGTAGTTACAAATATGACAAGTTTAAAATATATGTATCGGATGGGGGAGGGTCCCGCCGTCCCGGGTGTTGAATATGGCGGTGGTGACTTCAACGCCGCCCCACAAGCGTGGCTTCACAGAAAATAGACCCACTATTAGTAAGTATTTTACATCTTAGACAATTGATAATTAAATCACAAGATCAGAGGAGCTTTTATTTTTCTAATAAAAAAGTCAACTTAAAAGTTTGAGTTAAAATATGGATTTGAATAATAATAATATATAAAATTAGGGGTTTGAATCATAATTAGATATAAAATCGGACAGATTATCTATTTGATGTTAATTGTTTGGTTAAAAGACATTTAGGTTAACCTTTTTTTTTTTTAATCAAATGTGTGTTGATACCCAATTTGGCTCAGATTAATTAAATAATAAACGGAACAATAAAATACGATCTGATAAGCAAGGAGTCGAAAATACGTAATAAATAAGTATACAACAGGTTCTGAAGATTGATCACCCGAAAGTCGATCGGATCCTTCGATGTGGAGTCCGCCCGCTGCCGAGCCAGACTAAGTTCAAAGCTATCAGATGACCCACATATCATGAAGAAGCCGCCTTCGGTAAACGCGACCGTGCCGAGAAGACAGACGTCAATTGGAAACCTCAAAAGTCATAAATGGGCCCACGATGATTATCTCACATTAAATAATAATGTGTTATTTTTTACTTATTTAATTAGTCCACTTGTAAAGAAAAAACCATGTATATTAAGGGAAAAAGGAGAAGAGAGAAAGGGGCTTCTTCTATTAATCATTCTTCTCCCCCAACAACTCCAAAAAAGAGAAAAACTCTACCAAATAAGAAATAAAAACACCCCATTTCAATACATTGTTCTTGAATTTTCATACTAGAAATTCGATGCATTTTCAATTATTAGTCGTCCGATTTTTGACATCAACAATGTGCTATTTATAAATTAATTAAAAAGATCTGGATATTCTTATAAATACTATCTTTTTTCTTTAAAAAAAACTTTCAATTCTATATACCATTAATTATACAATATACATTAATTTTCAGTTAAATTATTAATTAAGGCTCAAGATTGGCTTGGTTCGCTTGGCACATAAAGTTCGTTTGGATAGCGTGTCAAGCTCGGCTCGATTCGATAAAGTCCAAAAAGTAATTTTTTATATAATTTTTCTATAATTTGACTCATTAAATAAACTTGATTTCGGTTTGAATCCAACATGTTAATATTTAAATAAGACGAGCTCAAGCTCGATTACTAGCTCAATTAAATGAATGGATTGGAATAATTGATGGCTAAACATAAGATTCATGTTATCTAGATTAGATATATTTGGATGGCTACGTGGCTCAATCTGTGCATCTAAAGAACACCGACATGTAGTTGTGGAATGCCACGAAAGTTTGCCAAAAACCCACGTGTCATACATTCATTGGACTATTTGACAATTTTCCAAAAGTCATTCAAATAAATTAGTCAACATATGAATGGAATTAATGTGGGTGTATTGGCAAGTTCCAACGGGTGAACAAACCAAATTGGCCAGGTTTAGTACACATTTAATTTATAAATTACTAGATATTAATAGTTACAAAATGATTTTTTTTTTTTTTTT